ACGAAACTAAACGGAATGAATTAAAATGGCGTCGAATATTTTCGAATTTGTTCTAGAACAAATCTGAAGTTATCTCTGAAACTGAAATCTGTCAATTCTAAACTGTGAAGTTAGACAATAGTTAGACAAAAACAATGCTGTCCTTGTCTAGGCGGCCATACTTGTCGTCAGGAGAATGACAAGAATGACACTAATGACTGTTTCCAATTTTCCTATTTCACTGTCACCCCCCTGACCGTACTGGCTGGGGATCGAACCCAGTACCTTCCGCTCCGCAGATCGACACACTAACGCTGGAGCTTCGACCGGCCACAACGTACCTATACCTAAGTGTTTATTTTTTTATCAGATTGTTAATTTCATTTTAATGTATACAAATATTTGACAAGTGAATAAACGTGACTAGAGTTTTCTCTGTAATTTTAATTCACAAACATATTAATATTGATTTTGGATATCATCTGTCGAAATCTTTATTGACTCACAGAACAGATTTTAGGTATAATCTACAGTACTGCTGCAAATAGACAAAACTGAGACTTAGTTAAAGAGTTATTTAGATAGAAAGTTTATTTTTTTAGTGACATAAAAATAATTAAACTTTGAGATTAGGAAATAATTTCTTATTAAAGACTCCACCTTCGAAGAATCGTGTTTTAATGGAGGTTGAGTTGAATGTTAAGGCGTACCTATATTTTTCTTTCATAATATCAATTTGAAACATTTGTAAAATTTCGGTTATTTAAGTATTTTATCTTTTACATTTTCAACTCATTATTATAGTGAGCAGAAAAAATGAATGCAACTTAACAATACTAACAAAAATGCTTTTTATTAAAAAAAATAGTTTATATGTATATTTTGTATATTATGTAGTGTAATAATTTAAAATAGTATATGATATATCTAAAATAGTATATGATAAATGATGAAATAAAACGGCGTCACAGAAGCTTTTGAACTGACAACTAATGATATGTTTTGTCGGCCGATCTCTACACCGGCACCGGGTGGTTAATCTGCGTTGGAAACGGGAAATCGCATGCAAATTTTGAACTGTCCAGATATTGGCTCTCCTGTTAATTTATAGGTTTTTGAAAGATCTAAGTTGAACAAATTTGGTCAAGCCAATTATAAGTAATTTAAGACAAATTGCATCTTTTTTAAGTTAAAACTTAACTCTGTTCAATTTTAATTTAAAAATAGATGCAATTTTTCTTAAATTATTTAAAATCGGCTTGTCCAAAATTGTCCAATTTGGCATGTGTATTCAGCAAGACCTTTATAAAACCTATATACGACTTAGCTATTATATTATATATAACTATTATATATTATCTTAGCTATTTGGACAGTTCAAAATTTATACAGGGTGGTCCGAACTGTACTCTGGAAACTTCGGCAGCATATTCTGCAGATAAAAATAAGTAAAAAAGTTCGTATAAATGTATGTCCTAAAATACTTAGTTTCGGAGATACAGGGTGTAGAAGTTTCCTTTTTATTTCGATTTTTTCTAAATAATTTCTGAAGTAACGTCAATATTTGGATGAAAATTGGTGTCTGGGAGTTTTGTGACACGAGAAATTTGATTTTGATGTCAAAATGACTCCTATTTGTAAGGGGCGCCACCTACATGCGTTTTGATTCTTTTGAAGAGTAATAACTTTTCGACGGTACCTGTATAAAACTACTGACTAAGAAAATATGCATTTCTATGATTTTTTACGTAAAAAATGTTTCTTGGTAAAAATCGCTATGAGCAACCGTTCTCAAGATATTTAAAATGGTAATAGTCAATACATGTCTTTATTGACAAAAAATAAGCACACGTTAAATAGAGTTATTTGACTGAAATTATAAATTTTTATTTTTTTAAACTAATCATAAATTTTTCTACGAAAAAATGATGATTAAACAGTTTTTGTTGAACTTTTGGCACAAAAGATTTCAAATTTAAGATTTCAGTCTAATAACTATTTGGTCAACATGTTTAACTTGTCAATGATGACAGGTATTGATAATTTCAATTTCAAATATCTCGAGAACCATTACTCGTAGCGATTTTTACCAAGAGACCTTTTTTATGTAAAAAAAGTTAAGTGTATATTTTTTTACTCAGTAGTTTTATACAGGTATGGATAAAAAGTTATTACTCTTCAAACCAGTTAAAGCATATGTAGGTGGCGCCCTCTACAAGTAGGAGTCATATTGACACGAAAATCAAATTTTTCATGTCCAAAAATTCCCAGACACCAATTTTCATCCAAATATTGACGTTACTTCTTAAATTATTTGGAAAAAATCGAAATGAAAATGAAACTTCTACACCCTGTATCTCCAAAACTAAGCATTTGCAGAATATGCTGCCGAAGTTTCCGGAATACAATTCGGACCACCCTGTATAAAATATAAATAAAAGCTACTGATCAGATTTTGTGCGTGAATGGTTGGTGTGTCTGGTAACATTTTACTTTAATCTAGTTTTAATTTTTATGTAATTTTTTAATAAATGTCGTATCGATAGAATAAATTGTTATCATCTACTTATCATAGGTTCTTATGATGCCGTTTTATTCAATCGTATATTATTCGAGTATTTTATAAGGTACAGAAAATGTAGCTATTTATACATAAATTATAATATTTATACAAGGGATAGCTAAATATTAAATATAAAACTAAATCTAATTGCATTGTAAAGATCGCAATGTTATTTTGATTATTCAACTCCACAATATAATCGGCATGGTATACAAAGATTATGATATTTATAGGAAACTATGTACAGACCAACTATAATAAATATCTATCTATATAGTACAGTTTTGATTTCAGGACATTTCATGTATTTTTAATATTTTTTTAAAGGGCATGATTTTTTTAAGAGACTGAAAAAAATGTGGTTTTTTATTTATTTACACCATTTTTTTAACATACTACCTTTGTAACTCAAACATATTTAGTAATATTTTAAGATTATGTAAAATGATCAAAAATGCAAGAATATACAGGATGTTTCATTTAAAAGAAATAATCCCGATCCACTCACACTTTTTTGGGTCTTCCTGTAGTTGTTAAAATATTTTCTTGAAATACATTCTAGTACATATTTTAGGTTTGCACTTAAACAAAATTCTCAAGTTTTTTTTTATTCTAGGAGCTACAGAAGACCGACGCACTATTAGAGAACAACGGCATACGGTCGAGTCGGCCGCTGCTGGCACGTATACGTAGCCGTAAAGAATCTTTTACGTGTATAAAATATAAAAAATATAAGAAATGCGCATGCGTACGTAAACGTTTACGTGTTTGTAGGCCGACTCGACCGTATGCCGTTGTTCTCTATTATTGCCGCGGTAGTAATTTAATAATAATATCATTTAAGATACTCGTATTTAGATAAAATTCTCTTAAAAGAATAACCACAAATAATTTCATTAACAATGCAAATAAAAAATATACTTTCTGTACGATGCCATACAGAGCCAAATACACAAAAAACATTTATAAATTTATCCTTTACGTAGTAAATATACAGAGAGTAAAAAATAGTATACCAACCTTCAGTGGATGATACGATTGATAAAAATTAAAAGAAAACGTTCTTATGGACATACGTCCTAAGATGCTTCATGGTGAAGTTACACCCCTGCAAAATTTTACAGCTCTTACTTGACATGTCTTAAAAATATTTAGAGTTTATCTGGTATGTAACTATGTACATTGATATTGTTTTTAATATATTTCGTTCAAATTTTTACTAGTTACCTATCAACATTTTCCTACGATCTTATGATTTCGTTAACATTTAAAAGTAATAAATATTTTGAAAATAATGTATTTTTTACATAAGATTGTTCTAGATTTTTATGAAACTACCCTCTATCCTAATAAAAAATTAATACTTAAAATATATTATTTTTATCTACCCTTTTAAGCTGTTATTTCCTGGGGAAGCATAGTAGGGCATACGTTTATAGAAACTTTTTTTTTTATTTGTGATATAACCCACCGAAGATGGTTATACTATTTCTTTACACCCTGTGTATCCTATACAGGGTGCAGAGTGTATACTTTACACATACAGTTTATCTGTAATTTCTTAAGAAACCCAACACCCAATAAAACAAGCTTAATTAGTATTACGAACTAACATAAGTAGAAATAAATCCAGCACCAAAGATTAAACTTATTTCTACGGACTAGCAAAAGTGACCATTAATCTTAAAATACAGGGCGAGTCTTAAATAAGTGCAAATATTTTTAGGCGTAGTATCTATATTATGAGTTTTTGCGAAAAAAATATTTTGAAAATTTTGAATCATTTAGATTTTTTTTTTAGTTTTTAGTTAAATAACATAATTTCTTGATAATATGGCAACATAGTTAGTAGATTAAATTTACAAGAAAAAAACAGAAAAGATAAGCAAAAAATATTTTTTTTAAATTTTTAAGTAAAATAACTCTACTAAGTTGTTTTGGACTTATTTGACAAACGGTAAAGACAAAATATGTTTATTTTATCGATCTACTAACCCTAAAATATTTGCACTTATTTAAGACCTACCTTATACAGGGTGTCCCAGAAATAAGTGCAAGTTTTAACTGGTAGTATTGTTCAACCCCAGAAACACGCCTATGAGTTATTTTCGAGATTTTTTTTTTTAAATTCGCAATTTTTTGATAAAAATTTGAAATTTTTCTTAGTTTTTAGTTAAAAAACAGAATTAATAATATGGCAACTTGGTGGTATGGTATTAGATTAAATTTACAAGAAAGAAAATCCAGAAAAGATCCAGTGGTTTTGAAAATTTTAGCAAAAAATAATTTTTTCTGGAAATTTTCAAAGTAAAATAACTCCGTTATTTTGGACTTATTTGTAAAACGTTAAAGTGAAAATATGTTTTTTTTATCGAGATCTACCACCCCTTAAAATACTTGTACTTATCTCTGGGACACCCTGTATATTTATGAATAATAATTATTTATTCTTTAATCGAGACGATCTTCTCAATTATTGCCATTTTCTTGTAAAGGGTGGAATGAGTACTTGAACTTCGCCATTTATTGTGCGAATGTTTCCGATATTCGGATACACAACCCTAGTGTATCTGGTCACTTCGGCATGGTAATGTCCAGGCGGAGGAATGTTAGCTGTAATTGCAGCCCTCAAACTAGCGGCTTGCGTGCTTCCCGCAGGAATAATATTAGCTGGGGCTGCCCTTGCACCAATAATTTCAACTTCTCCCTGATAACCATCGTATCGAATTACACCTGCTGCGGTTCCTTCTACAAAGTATGAATACGACTTTACAAAACTTATCAACTTATTTAATAAGAAGCATGGTAACTTTAAAATTCATTTAGTCCTGTAATTTTTCAAAATTTAGTTGAAATAGGATTGAAAATGAAAATCGTTCTCATTTTATATGTATTGTAAATTATATGGTGAATGTCTATCGACTCTCATTTCCAAGCCAATTTGACGTCATTCTTTTTCTATTATATATGGGGTACATGAAGAAAGAAATATCTTGATGAGAAATTATATGATTTGGATAGGAGATAGGACCACATCTAAAATTTGACTCATTACTTTTTAACTAAAAAGTAAAAATAACTGTCATTTGTCTTAAATTCTTTTGCCTAGATATACCTCACAACATACTTACTCTATACACTGATTTTTTACACAGTTTTTTTTATTAATTAACCTTTACAAATCTATTATGATTCTCCTATGATCTACCGGGTGCGTCTCAAAAGTGGCTCACCCCTATAACTTTTTTAATTTTTCAGATAAAAAAACGAGATTTGGTATGTTAGTATATGACATAAATTGGGATTGATTTACGTATTCAATTGTTTTTAGTCACTTCCTGTTTCACCGGAAATGACTACAACTTTTGATTTTTAAATGGCACCCTCGGTATTTTTTTACTTTATTCATATATTATATCACGAGACCTATAAATTTAATCGATTAAACTAAAAAGCAAAATCATGCAAACAATTATTTGGGTAGCTTAATCAATTAAATTTATAGGTTGAGTGATATACGGCTAGATTATTTCCTGAATGACTTAGAATGAAGCGAATGACTAAGAATGAAGCAAATAACTATAAGTATTTTATTAACTATAAAAGTTAACATTTTCGAACAACATTTAACAACTTAACCGTGAATTCATTTTCACTACAGGGGTAAATAAAATTTAAAGACGTTTCAAAACGACGCGACGTCTCATAAGCATCTCATAAGTAATGTTTGTGCTTCTGCTACCTTGGTTACACATCCCAACAATGCATCGAGGACCGTTTCGCATGTCAACATATCAAATTCTGACGTATTTTTCTCCACTTATTTGTTCAAAATAATATCGAATAAGGGGTTTTTACCGATTAAAATCGTTACTAAGTCATTACATATGAGTTGTAAATCAATGTTTTTAAATGAACTGTTGCCAAAATCCCTCAGATTAGTGATAAACGACAAAAAGAAAACCCAAAAGGTAGCCGAAAAAATAATCGCGGTTAAACTGGTCTTTCTTTTTTAAATCACTTATCTAAACAAAATTTATTCGAAAAATTAGATTAGCTGATTGGTCCATTTCACGATGAAGGAAATAATCCATAGAAATGACCCTCTAAATAGAATGGCAACTTTTGACATTTTCTCATATTATGGTTTATTTGAAATTGTAACATGCGGTTCATAACGATAATTTGAGTCGAAATATCAAGTGTGTGGTACCAAACTATTCGTAAAAAAATGCTTTTTCCAAATATGCCAATGAGCCACCCTTGTTCCATTTGAAAAAATTGAGATATGATTAAAAATACGATTTGAGCATTTTTTAATCGGCCAGGACAAGACACGAAAAATATCAGACGATCAAATCTATTTTTCCAAGGCACCTTGATTAAGAATTAGTGTTTTTAACATAGCCATAGCACTCTAGATTGAATTTTGAATATGTCAATCAATCCCAATTTACGTCATGTACTAACATACCTTTGAATAAGAAGACTAAGGAAGGAGCATAATGCTATCCATGTATGGGCGGAAAATGGTGGCCGGAAAAAGCGCCATAAAAGCACTCTAGGGTGGGGATCCTTGACAGTTCTGTTTGACGATTCATTTGACACATTTGAATTTGATTTGAAATTTTGTGGATTTGTCAGTCTTTACGGAGCTTATTTTATGTTATTTATTATTTATTCTACTACTGATAGTTGTATAAAGGTAGTAAATCTAGATGGAAATTGTGGCAGAACTTAAATTAACAGTGACACTATCGCGATTTATCGAAAAATATTCTAAAATAGTTGGTTGTGTAGCGTGCGGTAGATCTCGGCAAGAATTGAGTGAAATAATGGAACAACTTTTCGCTAGTAAGTGACTATATAATATAGATACGTTAGTAAACCAATCATTTATGAAATTCACTTAAATTAACTAAATTATATATTTTTCTTGCATTTTAGCTTTTATTTATTACTTGTCAAAGATTAGATGTCAAAGAATTTAGATACGTTAATTTGACTTATCTGCTTCAGTAGCGTATCGGATGTTTGTGTTAATAAATACTTATTATAATTTATCTATTTTTATTAGAATTATATATTTTTATAACAATTTTAATAACTACCAACATTTATTCACAACGTAACATAAAACAACAAATTATTGAGTCTGCCCCACGTCTACCCTACATCATAGTTTTACATTTTTTAAATAAAATTAGAACGACACTGATAAACCGGAATTTAAGTCGGCCATATTTGAGGCCCATCGCGGTGTACCTAAGATTTTTGATATGCTCCTTCCTTAGTCTTCTTATTCAAAGTAACATACCAAATCTCGTTTTTTTATCTGAAAAAATTAAAACGTTATAGGAGTGAACTTTTGAGACGCACCCAGTATAGGTTACATTCTCCAGCCATATCTTTTTCAAATCATCTAATAACTTTTGGAGACGGAAAATAGAAAAATAGAAGACGACTTAGATTTCATGAGGTAGCTGATTGTCAATTCGATTGTGTAGAATGTTTAGGAGGAGAGTTCTTTTCAGGAGTTCATCAGGCAGTCTCAGGGCTTTGACAAAAGCCCGTATCTGAGACGGCTCCACTGAGGCTAGCTCTCCATCTCGAACATCAGTCGTACCAAAGTTTATGGGACGAACGGTTGTCATCTCGGCACACTCAGTGATGAAGTATTCTGATGTTTTTCCATTTCCCCACAGAATCAGAGTTTCTCAGCTTCAATGTACTCAGGTGTTCGTTGAAGATACAATGTCCTGTTAGAAATCCCGTGATAATCCTGAGATTGTTCTGAATTAAATCAAGGAAAATCTTTGATTTTTCTCGGTCGTAAGTTCTGTGAAATTGTTTCGAGTATCTTACCGTTGGGGGATTCCAGGTTACGGTTGGAGTCTTTCAGTTTGTTGAGTCTTGAGTTCCGTTTTAAGTTGGCTTCCACTTGGAAGGCAAAAAGATTCTGGTCCTCTGGACTTGGAGTGTTCGCTCTTTTTCTAGCTAGATCGTTTGCTTTTTTATTGTGTTCAATCCCTTGGTGAGCGACACCCAGAGTAGGAGGACTCTTTCTTTCCCTAATTTATTCAGTTTTTCTCTAGGCATTTTTGGAGCAACTTCGAATTGATGGTTACTGAGTTGATCGCTTTTAGTGCTGATTGACTATCGGATAAGATAGATATTTACTGTTTTCGATAGTTCCTATTTAAGATATATTATGCGCATCTTTCGATAGCGTAGATTTCTGCCTGAAGGATGCTCGGTTAGGTGCCCATTGATTCGGAGCATTTAGTTTTCGGCCCAAATACTCCTATCCCTGTCCATGATTTGGTTTTTGAAGCATCTGTATACCACGTTATGGTATGATCCTTTATATGCTGAGCAAACCTTTCTCTATTTTTATTCTTTTTATTGCTCGATACTACAGTGATGTGTTTCTCAAAGTTGTACATTCTTGGTATGTCATCCACTGGGGGCTGGAGGAGTGACATTTTCTTTTTGCGGATATTCCAAGCCCTTCTTCTTCTTCTAGTGCAGATCCATTAATGGATGTTTGCGATAACATTTTCCATTGCTTCTCTGTTCGGGGCGGTGTGTATTAACGACTGAACCTCGTGTAGCCCTGTCCACTGTCTAATATTCCTCAACCAAGACATTTTCTTCCTTCCGATACCCCTCCGGCCTTCGATCTTGCCTTCTATCAACAAATGCAAGAAATGATATTTGGGGTTTCGCATTGTGTGTCCCATGTATGCGGTCTTTTTCTTTTTAATCAATTCAAATAATTCACGCTATTTGTCAATCTAGCCGTCCAAGGTATCTTCAGGATTCTGCGATATAGTCACATCTCAAAAGCCTCCAATTTGTTGATGGTAGCTGCTTTCAATGTCCAACCTTCCATACCATAAAGGAGCACCGACCACACATAACACTTTACGAATCTTAATCTAATAAGGTCAAAATCAGAACAGACAAGTACTTTTCGAAACCTCAAGAATGCCTGCCGAGCTTGTTCGATGCGACATTTAATTTCCTTGTCTGATGTCCAATCTTCGGAGAGCAAGATGCCCAAGTACTTAAATTTATTTACTCTTTCTATGGGCCTTGAGTTAAATGTTAGGATGGAGTTATTAAACACATCTGGGTTTCTGGATATAATCATAAATTTGGTTTTCTTGATGTTGATATTTAAACCCATTGCTTTGCTCTGTTCTCCTACCTTGTTGACCAGTTGTTGTAGGTCGTGTATATTGTCTGCTATTAAGACCGTATCGTCGGCATAGCGGATACTATTAATCCACCTTCCATTAACTTTGACCCCCATTTCAACGTCCTCCAGAGCCTCTTGGAAAATAGCTTCTGAGTTTAAATTAAATAGGAGTGGAGACAGCACGCAACCCTGTCGCACCCCCCCTTCTAACTTGTATGGGATTGGACATGGTATTGGACAATTTTATTTGTGCTGTTTGGTTCCAGTGTAACTTCTCAATGCATTGGATGTCTTTATGATCTATATCAAGTCTTTTCAGGAGCTGCATTAATTTCGTAGTCTATGAAACACAGGCACACATCCTTTCTTTGATCATAGCAGTTCTGGATAAGCACCTGTGTTGCAACTATCGCTTCCCTGGTGCCCAACCCTTGTCTGAACCCCATTTGCGAATCGCTTATGTCCCTTTCACATTTTTTGTAAATTTTCTGGTGTATTATTTTCAAAAATATTTTTAGGGTCTGGTTCATCAGGCTGATAAGTCTGTGATCTTCACACTTTCTGGCATTGGTCTTCTTAGGCAGGGGTATAAAAGTAGAACGCATTCACTGTTTGGGGTAGTGACCTGTCTCATATATAATATTGAATACTTTATGTAATGCTGTAATTCCAAGCCCCTGGCCTGAAAATTCTCCCAGTACTCTGTCCGTTAATGACCATTATAATCATTGTATTCAACTGTGTGAGTTTTACATAATATCTATTTGTGACCACCCTTCTTAACTCTTAGATTTTCCAGTCTTAAATACCTAATAACTTCGAGACTAATGTTCCATATAATTTTTTACCAATGTCTTATTATTGTCTAATACAAACGACCGGATATTTTTTTATGTGACCGAATTGACGTTTCAATTGATGCATTTGAATTTGATTTGAATTTTTTTGGATTTCTATGTCTTTACTGAGTTTTATATTACTGTTTTACTGTGTTTTATATTATTTATTATTAATTTATTCTTCTATTGATTTTGTTTAGAGCTAGTAAATCTAGAAAGAAATTGTGTCAGCACTTTAAATTAATAATGATACTATTACGATTTATCGAAAAAAACTGTCAAATTTTGTTGGTTGCAGATAGATCTCCGTCAAAAGTCGTGGGAAATTATGGAATAACTTTTCACTGGTAAGTGACTATAGGAATATAAAGGAATATGAATACGAGTAGTAAACCGAGATCATTTATGAAATTCACTTATAATTAACTAATTAGATATTTTATCCTTGCATTTTCGCTTTTATTTACTACTTGTCAAAAATAATAATTATTTTAGATACGTCAATTTCACTTGCGTGCTTCAATAGCGTATCTGATGTTTGTATTATTAAATAATAATTAGTTTCTTAACCTTTTTATTAAAATTTTGATCACATTTTAGCAAATGATAAAAAATTTGGTGATCAATGTGCTATTCTAATAGTATTTATAATTCTTTAGATAATTACTTTTTTGTCAAATTTTAAAATTATTGGACATTTTTATAAAATAAATCTTATTGTTTTTTCAGTTAACATTATTTGTTGAATGTCTTAAAATCTTTGGAAGTGTAAATTTTGATTTTAGTATTGTTCGGTATATATTTTGTTGAATGTTGTATATTGACTGTAATGTTCAGACATCATTTTGTGTGTTTAAGTGATCAGTGGTTATGGTAAGGGTCTCGTCTCGACCTTCCCATTGCACTATGCTTTTCCTATACCGAAACATTAATAGTAAAAATGAAATAAAAAAACAAACAACTAGAAACAAAAAGTGTTTATTTTTAGGATATATTTACAAAAAGGAATTACATAGAGTCTTTTAATTTGTATTTACATTAATTTATGCAATTCTGGATCTCAGCGTGACCCTCACCAACCTGGAATAAAGATGAATTAGTTGTATAAATTGTTGTAAAATATATGTATGTATTAGAATAATGAAGCAACATTGAAAAAAACGGCACTAGAGATATCTTGGGTAAATTTACACAGGGAATGTCATCGATCGGCATTTCAAAGCCAACTAGACGCCGTTTTTGGGAATCATAATGGTATATATTAGTATAAAGTCTAGAATTTATAAGATGGCGTTCTAATTCAAAAATAGTACCCAAGAGAACTTTAAAAAAATAATTTTAGAATTACTGAAGTGTGTAAATATATGACTTACCTCCTTCTCCATGATAAGAACCGTCATCACCACCCCAAGAACCTTCACCTTCCCAGCCTCCTTGCCATCCTCCTAATAAATTAAAAGATCAGTGATAAATACATTTAATTACTATTAGTATAAAATATATTGTTTAAATATGTCCAACGAGAGCATTCCTGACAGTGACAGCAATTATCATCTTTTTAATAGATACGCACAGATAAATTGAATTTTCTGTCATTTTTTGGATCTCTAAATCCTCTCCAGCTCTTTGGATAGACTTTAGGAACATATTCTATTATAAATATGGCAATTTGAAAAATAGGTGATTTTGAACGTTTCTTCGAAACCAAAACTATTCAGAAAGGAATATTTTTAAGTTTTAGAAGCTTTGTTCATGTTAATAGTAAAAATAAAATATTGGTCAAATCAACTCAAAAATTATGCGTCTATATATCAATCAGAATAAGAAGAATTAAATTATTCATGTCATATATTATTTAGAACAAAGAAAACTATTTAATATAATATTTACAATACGATGTTGAAAAAAAAACGGCGTCAGAGATGGTTATGAAATGAGCATCTCAATCACTGGCATTTTATACCGATTTGATCATATTTACAATACGATGTTGAAAAAAAAACGATTTTAATGTGTAAGACAGTGATGTAGACAGCTTAATGGAAAATCAAATGTAATAAAAAGAGATAAAAGTTGGGTTGATGCATTTCTTTTATTGCATCAAAAATTCAAACCGCATAATTACGCGTTTATGGAAAATGTTGCATATAGGGTTGGAAGCTTATTCTTCACTATTAGTAACTCATTTGACTACAAATGTAATAGATTATATTTAGCTTAGATTTACCTACAGAGTGTCCCAGAAATAAGTGCAAGTATTTTAATTGGTAGTATAGTTCCCCAGAACACGCCTATGAGGTTTTATATCGCAAAAAAAAATTGAAAATTCGAATCTTTTTGAAAAATTTTTTGGAATTAGTTTTTAGTTAAAAAACATAATTTTTTGATAATATGGCAACATAGGTATTTGTTGTAGGTTATTTTATAGGTATTGGATTAAATTCACAAGAAAGAAACTCCAGAAAAGATCCAGTGGTTCTCAAAATTTTAGCAAAAAATCATTTTTTTTGGAAATTTTCAAAGTAAAATAACTCCGTTATTTTGGACTTATTTGAAAAACGATAATGAGAAAATATGTTCCGTTTATAGAGATCTACCACCCCTTAAAATACATGCACTTATTTATGGGACACCCTGTATTATCTTTATTTCAGTAGTATATATAAAAGTTACTAAAATAGTTTTTTTTCTACACAATTTTTTTTTAAATTTTCTACAAACGTAAAAAATTTTATCTCTCTGTCTGTCAACCGGCTATTTATATTATTGTCTGTCTTACACGTTAAAATCCAGATCACACTTCTAAAATGACCAAATCGGTATGTAAAATTATAAGCGGAAGATAGTTTATTCCAAGCCAACTGGACGCCGTTTTTTTTTATTATACGGTACCTTCTCCTCTGTATTGACCATCATCACCTCCCCATCCACCGTTCCAGGCACCTAGAAAAATAAAAATAATTTATAAATAAAATGATTATTTACAATTTATACAGGGTGCTACAAATTCGAGGTACGAGCATTGGTATCTCGGTAACCGTAATAGATACCAACATGGTTAAATTGGGGCAAAGTTGCGCTTTAGGATGTTCACCAAGATGGCATCAAAAAAGTTTTAAAAATTTCAAGGATTGCTGAGTTTCTTGGAAAAAATGGATTTTTTTGAAAATCGATTTTATTTTTTCCTGGCGTTACTTTTTAGGAAATCAAAAAACTAATTACACATTCTCATTGCCACTTTATTAGGGCTATCTGATAGTATTTTTAGATTTTCAAATTAGCTGATAATTTGTGAGACACAGAGGCCAACTTAATTTTTTTAAATACGGACCTGCATTTTTTATTTCAGATTTTGAAAGAACTCGATCTCTTGAATTCAATGATATGCCACACTTACAATAAAGACTACAAAATGCATTTGGAACTATAACAAGAAGTTATGTTCAAAGAGCTATAAATAAGATTGATAGAGAACAAAAAATAAATTTGTGCATTAGAGAAGGTGGTAACGCTTTCGAACATGTAGAGCATTAGAAACTAGTTTGTAGATGTTGATTTATTTATAATAACTACGATTAATATTATGAATATTATTAGATCGTACACTGAGATTTCAAATTCACAATAAAAAAAAGTTAAAAATAATATCGTTAAATTGCTGACTTGGATAATATTTATTTGAATCTTTCAATTGGCTGGGTTTTCCTTATTCAGTGTTAATTAGCTCTAATCAATATTGTTACGATGAATATAATCAGATTAAATGATTACTGAGACCAGAGTCGTACTTGAAATTATTTAAAATAATAATTAAATAGTTTTGTTGTTGTTAAGGTACCCAAAACAAAAAAGTATAAAGTGTGGCATATTATTGTACTCAGGAGACCGAGTTCTTTCAAAATCTGTAATAAAAAATGCAGATCCGTATTTAAAAAAGTTAAGTTGACCTCTGTATCTCACAAATCATCAGCTAATTTGAAAATCTTAAAGTACTATAAGATAGCCCTAATAAAGTGGCTATGAGAATGTGTAATTAGTTTTTTGATTTTCTAAAAAGTAACGACAGGAAAAAACAAAATTGATTTTCCAAAAAATCCGTTTTTTCCAAGAAACTGAGCAATCCTTGAAATTTTTAAAACCTTTTTGATGGCATCTTGGTGGACATCTCAAGGCGCAACTTTGCCCCAATTTAACCATCTTCGTACAACTTAACAAGTATAGCTAGAGACGTGAGAAATATAAAATAAGAGACGCCCCTCGATGCGCAGTGGACAGCACACAAATTTGCTTTAATCGGATTTGTCGTAGCGTAACTGCATCTCTCTTCCGCCGAATGCGTTCTCTCTCTATCGTGTGCGCGACCGGTGCTATCCCCAAGTCTCTTCCTATATTTGTCAAACTGTATCTATTACAGTTTCCAAGATACCAATGCTCGTACCTCGAATTTTTAGCACCCTGTATACTAACAGCTTAAATTTACATTGTATTAATTTTAACAATTGCTTTATTTAATAATTTTGTATTGCTCTTTTTATTTCAAATTTAATGTGTTGCAGCTATAGTTTGTCCAACAAAAGAAACAAGATTTGGAGAGACTACAACTGACAATGACTTCAACTATGACTTCGAACATACCATATCTCTAGAGTGGCAAATAGAACAATTGACAATTAAATTAAGAATATTAAATATTAGAGACATTTAAATTAGGTTATTAAATTTATATAACTCTTACCTTCACCTCTGTATTGGCCATCATCACCACCCCATCTACCACCTCCGTTCCAGGCACCTAAAAAAAATTAAATAAACTTAAAACCTAAATTCTTAAATTAAAATCATAAGTTTTGTCAGTAAACTAGAATTATATAGCTTCCAAGTCGCTTCTTTTAATTTAGGTACAATACAATCGGAAAAAAAGGCGTCAACGATGGCTATAAAATGAAGATCGCTGTCATTTTATATATGTAAAATTTTATAGGGAATGTCATTGATCATCATTTTCAAGCTAACTGGACCCCGTTTTTTTCGATCATACTATATTTTAGGTTAATAGTTTAAATAAATAGTTACTGAATAAATTTTTGTTATTCATAAAACAACAAGAATCGTGATAAAATTGTATCAAATTCATCATTAAATACAATTTAATAATATATAATGATTTGGGATCACTCCGATAAGAACTGTATTTGAAACATTAAAGAGAACTGAGAACCAAGAAAATTTTAAAGAGAAGTCTAATAGGCATATTATGTCCTAACACCATGTATATCAGCTGAGGAATTCTGGACCACGGGTGCAATTTAGGATACATTAGAGAGAGATTGTTTGCAAGATGATTCCTTGCAGCCAATTCAAAACATATGTAGGAAAAACTAAGCAATAATAACAACGGTTTGTTTACCTTCTCCTCTGTATTGACCATCATCGTATCCACCGCCGTTCCATGCACCAGCACCTTCCCATCCGCCAGCACCTCCAGCACCGATTCCGCTGGGTCCAATGGGTCCTTTGGAGGTTATAATACCTGAGGGTCCTAAAACACAATGTAATATTAACATATTGGCGATTTATTTTAAGTTTTCATACTATTTTACTATATTCATATTGGGTTTGTTCGTAAGGAATTGATATTTAATTAATTACAGTCTAGATTACAACTGAGTTAAAAGTGAACAAGTAAATATTTTATATTTCGACTTTCAGATAGTATAGAATAACTCTTAGATAAAAAAATATATTAGGTATATCTCAAATAGATATCGTAAAATTGGAAGAAAACCCAAAATGCTTTTTTTTGACATCCTCGCAGCAAAATCTTCAATTGTTCGATTAGTTTTAGAGATATTGGTTTTAAAATATAAGAAACATGTCTAAAAACTAGTAATTTCTACTTTCTTTATGTCAAAACCATTTGTCATAAATGAATATATATCGATGAAACCACAATGTTCTTCCCTCATTCTCTCTACAGATCAAAAAGCCAAATAAGGTTCATCAATGTCATTCATAGGTCTTGAACACTTCTATAGAATTGCAAAAGCAGTCACTTAAATTTCTAGAATGGTGACGAAATTCACCAAAGTTGAGACAACCCACACGACAGACACGATAAGCAAAATTAGAAGACAGTCAAAGCTGTAGTGAGTCTACTAACGGTGTTTTGTAAGCTTAATAGGCATATTCAGCTGACGGGATTGACGGACGAAGCAATGTGCATATTCTGTCAATTTGAAGAAGAAACTATAGAATACAGTTTATGTCGGGGCGATAACCTGACAGTTGTGCGGTTTTTTGTACTAGGCAATGATATTATGCCATTGATCAACATAAAAAGACTCAGGGGACAGCCATCTTTTGATGCGTGTCAAATACTCGTCAGCGAGTAATGGCAGTAATAGTAGTAGTAGTAGTAGTAGTAGTATGCAATTGATAAAGAGTTATATGGAGAGTTCAGTCTCCAAGTTGCTGGATTTTTTGAAAAGGATAAGACTGGAGAATGCAACCTAAGGATTAGAAGAGGACTACAATAGATCTAAGAAATCTATTTTGAGTTATTACTTACGGTATTTTTGTTAATCTAAGAGATGAAAAAAAATTGAAGCATTTGAAATGAAAGGAATCGAAGCATTTGAGAAATAAAATCGAAGCATTTGAAATGTGGACATATAGAAGAATGCTTAGAATATCTTGGACCACCAGAACCAGAAATGAAGAAGTTCTTCGAAGAATGGAGCAGGACAGACTACTTCTGAATATTATGAAGCGACGAAAACATGAATACCTTGGCCGTATAACCTGAGGACCTCGATATGAATTTATCCGACTGATCCTTAACCGAAAAATCGAAGGAATTGGACGCAAGAGGCTTTCGTGTTTGAAGAACTTATGGCAATGGACAGGCTTGAGCGCGGATGAATTACTCCATGTAGCGCAAGATCGAGAGCGATTCAGAGATATTGTTAACATGGCAGTCGTCAACGTTCACTAGGAACATGACACTTGAAGAAGAAGAAGAGATGTTATGAAATACATGTTCTGTCAATCTGATACAAAAGTTCTGTCACAAGATAAAAACTGACATGAATGTTAGAATTGACATTATCTGATTCTGATGCTTTACCTTTAAGGATAATCTTGGCACCACCAGCTCCACCATCTCCTCTCCATTGACCATCATCGCCATCACCACGCCATTGTCCATCGTCACCATCCCACCTAAAAATTAATTAAAAACTGGATTAGATTCATTTGCAAGAGTTTGTAATGATTACAATTTAAAGGTCATTCTCATGCAAAATTTAATTTTGAAGAGTACAATTATATTCAGATTTTAGTTATTAATTTAATTACAATATGATCGAAAAAAAAACGGCGTCAGCATTGGCTATGAAATGAAGATTGCTATCATTTTATATGTAAAATTATATAAAGCAGCATCGATGTTTATTTCCAAGTGAACTGGGCGCAATTTTTTTTGTGATTATACGGTAGTTAGATGTTAGTTGACTGATTTCATGCACAGAATATTATACATTGACATATTTTTACGTATATTAAAGCTAATTGTCTTGTTGCATGCATTACCAACACAAAAAAAATCATATTGACTTTACATGTTATGAAAAACTGTACGAATTTTTACAAGTGTGCAATTTATTTCAGACGTAATATAATGAAAGTCAAGCAAATAATAGATATTAGTATATTTTTAGTAATTCATGCATAATAAATGCAATCCCTTGCATATCATTCTCAACTAAAACTGTCAAGATATTACATAATATATAATTTAGAATTACATCCAAAAAAAAATACAAAAAAATTGAAATAAACTGCCACTACTACATTCTTTCTTTGTAAGTTAATAACTCGCTAAACTTATACATTATCATCACAAGAGTTATTTCTTATTCTGTGTTATTATTATACCTATAGTATTTTAGTGCCTATAGTATCAAATTTTTGAGAGCAATTTTTATGTATGTTCACTTATAAGTTTCTAATATCCTGCATGCAAATAAAAGTTAGTAGGTATTATTAGTAACAGACATTTTTAAAGATATTCTTTAAACACATAAAAATAAATACTAGCAACGCAGCATCCATTAAAAAGACAGTCCAAAAGTTGGAAAGTTATCTGGAGCTCTCTCTTTAAGGAAAACCAAGAAAATTAAAGCGGCCGTGAAAATAACAGACTTTTAGGACCGACTTCTGACTCTGGATGTTTAATAAGAAGGAAAAGAAGAATTGAAGTACCTTCCGTCATCTCCTCCCCATCTTCCGGCACCACCTTCCCATCCTCCGGCACCTCCCCATCCACCTCCCCAGCCTCCGGCAGCACCGGCACCTCTGCCGTCTGGACCAATGGGGCCCTGGGGGGTGATGATACCAGAGGGTCCTTTGAGGATGATTTTGGCGTTGGCCGAGGCGCAAAGGGCCACAGCTGCGATTACCTAAAAAGACGAATCATTGTTATAAATCTATAGTATAAATAACATCAGTGGCATTTGGGGTCTCAAAAGGCAGAAATAAGTATACTATTGAATGCGTGATGGTATTTTCATCTTTTTATACGATCAAATAATAATATCGTCATTTCTAGCACAAAAACTAGAAGAATTGACTGTATGTAACAGAAATAGCAGATATGTCACCTGAAACGTTTAATTTTTTTTGGCTTAGGCAAATTTATTTCCGGGTAAAAAGCTACTGACAAACTGATTTCCGTCTAGATTCTACGCAGTGATAAGTTCCGATATAGATATTTATGTAACAAGTTGCGAAATGAATGTGCTTCAAGCACGGGACGAAAAATTGTCCAACGAGGCGAAAGCCGAGTTGAATAATGCGTCGAGTGCATAAAACACTCTTTTCGCAACGAATTTCATACAAGATTTTTTGTGTGACAGCGGATAATTTGAGATTTTTATGTTATTATTATAATTTATTTTTAAACATTTTTTAAAATGTTCTGGTAATCGGTTTCTAAGGCATTGTTTATGCATTGTCACAAATTAACTACAACAGATGCGAAAGAACACCGAATTACGCGTTCAGGTTTCTGTGACCTTCAGAAAGACTTCATAGACAATCCGCATCAATGTATAGTTTGGGTTATTATTTGTTTGGGTGAAAATAATCTGCACCAATATGTTATCGAGCCATATAATCTCTCAGTAATTTAATAGATTGCTCGTCATATTATATCAGTTCGTAGGAGATTAGGAAAAAAAAGATATTTATAGTATAAAAAATTAATTTATTTAACAAAATTTAATTAAAGACGTGACAAAATAGTTACTTTTCTATTGGTTCTATCGGAGTTTTTTCGACTATATAAATCTTTATTTTTTGTAAACTTTAATGCATAAAATATTTTCAATCTAATAAATAATTTAATGATGTAAATAAGAGGAAATTTCTCACATGGGTGGTCAAATTCTATAGTTTTCATTATATCAAACAGCCTCTGAATGTTTTTTTCAGTGCGAAACTCATCAAAATTTAATATAAATAATTTTTCCATTTCCAGTAAATAAAATGAACAAATTTTTCTACTTTCATGATCAAAGGCTTTTAAATGGGTAAATAATTTCGAGTTATCCAGAGATTCGGATTCTTTTGCAAATTTTAGACAAATATCACATTGATGTATTTGAAGACCCTTTTAATTGATGTAGTCAAACATAATTAAAGGCATTTTGAGTTGAAAACATTTCTCAGAGGCTGTTTGATATAATGAAAACTATAGAATTTAACCACCCATGTGAGAAGTTTCCTCTTATTTACATCATTAAATGATTTATTAGATTGAAAATATTTGATGTATTAAAGTTTACAAATAAAGATTTATATAGTCGAAAAATCCGACAGAACCAATAGAAAAGGTACTATTTTGTCACATTTTAATTAAATTTTGTTAAATAAATTAATTTTATACTATAAAGATCTTTTTTCCTTATAAATAAACACACTTGTATCCCATTTTAAATAAGATATACAAATTACCAAAACTTAGAAATAACAGTTCAAAAGTTCAACAAAAATCCTACACCCGTTTTTAAAAAGAAACATATAACCACGCACTATGTCATTCCAGCAAGCGAATACGACACAGCATAGGTTTCCGGACTACACGACTGGTGTATTTACACCACTCAATAGGCTTGTGGGGTTTGCCGAGCGGTTTCCGATGCAGTCGCTTTCTTTCGCATCTGTTATAGGTAATTTGTGGCATTGTTTAGTGTTTACGTGATCTGTGGTTTAGTGACAAAGTTCTGTCAGGTTCAAACGTCGCCGTATTTCCTGCAAAGTTTTGTGAAAAAATGAGTGATAATGACGAGTCTTTAGATATTCAACAAGCTGCTGAAATTGCGCTATCCACATCCACCCAGTTAGTGCCCGAGAAGTCGAAAAGCTTATAAGAGACCACCTACAACAACTTTGAAACCTGGGTCAAAGAAAAACATGTTGAGAATTTCACAGAAAAGGTATTGCTAGCCTATTTCCTGAAGTTATCCACTATCTTAAAGCTGTCAACTCTGAGCAGTAAATATTCGATGCTCTCTCTCCGCACCATGATTTACCTGAACAGAAACGTAGATAAATAAACAAACTAGAAACGTAGAAATTCACAAACTATATTGCATTTTTAAAAAGAAAAACTTCCGGATATCAGACAAAGAAATCAAAGGTATTTACACAACTGGAAATAGAACGCTTTATGAAAGAAGCCGATGACAAAGAATTCCTTTTAGTTAAAGTTGTCTTAATCGTTGGAGTATTTGGAGCATGTAGGAGGGAAGAAATCACGTTTTTGACCGTAAATCCGATTAAATATTGTCAGTCATTGTCAGTGTGAAGATTCCGAATAAAAAAACTTATTTTCCAAGAGTGTTTACGATTACTGAGGGACCAATAGATGGTATCAATTTCTTACATGTATTTCGTAAGTATGCAAAACTTCGACAATTTAATGTGACACATTAGCGATTTTTCTTGACGTATCGAAAAAATCAATGCTGTACCTGCCAGTTGAAATCAACACAATTGGGGATATGCCAAAAAAGATAACGGAATTACTTTGACACTCCAACGCCATTGAATACACTGGTCATTGTTTCCGGCGCAGCTCTGCAACAATGCTGGTAGATTCGGGAGCGACATCACAGTTTTAAAGAGACATGGAGGTTGGCGATCAAGCTCGGCTGCTGAAGGTTACATTGAAAATTCAATTGAACAGAAAACCGAAATAGCAAAAAGAATCATAGGACAGAAAGACACGCCAAATACGAAATTAGTTCACGTAGAAGCAGAAGCTACCAGCATTACCAGTACAAGAAATTTACTTATTCCGACTCCTACAACTTGCATTTCTCTTAGAGACGAAAAGTTTGGTTTGGTTGTGTGTCACTTTTAGGTGCAACAAGTATCACTTTTAGATGCTAGTGCCTAAAAGAATGTCATTTCGAATCTCAAATAAATATCAAAAACTCTCAATTTCGAAACGCTTTTACAAGAAAAATAATTTTTTATTTTTTAGTTTTCTCTTTAAGCGAAATACCTGCTTAGTTTCTTTTTGAGGAAATGCTAATATTATTTTATATAAGTGTTTGAAATCTCATCACATCCAAATTGTAAAAAAATACTTCCTTTTTAATCTTTGATATGCATTTAGTTAATATATTAAAATTTTTAGAAATATTTTGTTTTAAATGTTGACAAAAAGTTGACGTGTTTGAAACTAATAACAGCTTTAAACAATAAATTACTACCAACTTATAACTTAATAATATATAATTATAACTCTATATATCGCTTACTACCGACAGGTTTAATAAATGAATTTTGTGTAAATAATCGTATTATATTATGAATACTTAAATAATTTCTTTGTGTTTATTATGAACATAATAATTGTTATCTACTAAATTTAAATGTAAGTGGATAAAATATACTGTGGAAATAAAAACAAAGTTACAATAAGGTAGAAACAAAAGTTCATTTCAAGATTAACTATGTTTTTGCTGTTGCTGTTTACTGTTTTAACAACAGTTAAAACAGTGAGTGAAACACTATAGCAGCAAATTTTATGTTTAAATTTTAGATTTAACTGTTTGTCAAAGACTTCAATACTTCAAGAGCTTTATAATTTTATTTTCAACAGTTTCAAAATTTAAAAAAAAAATAGTTTTGGTAATTTTCAAACTCAATATGTTTTCTGGGAAGAAAAGTTACTACTGTCATTAAAACAAAAATAAAAAAACATAGAAGTAAAAAAAAAAGAAAATATAAAAACTATTTAAAATAGCGAAAAATTTAAAGGACAGTAGAAATGTTTATAAGAAACCAATTTTGGCAGTAGTGGATTTTTAAAAGGAAGTATGTATAAAGTGTAATGTATAAATTTAGTTAGACATATTGTTTATTCATAACGTTTTTTTTTCAATAAGAAATGCTATCTAGTGTAGTATTATGAGGACACAAAAAGAGTCAATTAAACTAAATATAATCTGCAAGGACCGTATGGTGAAAAAATAGCGTTCAGGTGACTTTGAAATGACGATCGTTGTCATTTTCATACAATTTTAAATATAAAATGACGCCAATCTTCATTTCCAAGCCATCTCTGACGCCCTTCTTTATTTCAATCGTATGGTATATACAGGGTGAATCTTAAATAAAGGCAAATATTTTAGGACTAGTATATTTCGATCCCAGAAACACGTATATGAGGTTTAAAAAAATTAAAAATTTGAATTTTTTTGAAAAACATTTTAGAAAAAAAACATAATACCTATCATCATAATACGGCAACATAGGTAGTAGTTAAAATTTACAAGAAAGAGAACACAGATATATGCAACAGTTCTTAAACTTTAAGCGAATGCTTTTTTTAATTTTCAAAGTAAAATACCTCGCTTATTTTTTGAAAAACGGCAAAGAGAAAATATGTTACTTTTATCGTGATCTACCAGCTCTGAAAATATTTGCACTTATTTAAGATTCACCCTGTATAATAGAGTACCAAAATATCCAGTACTATTATAAAAATATACGTAATATACTGCTAAATATTAATAAAGAAAAAAACGTAGCTAAACTGATATGGTTAAGAATTATTAAAAAAAAGAAACTATTTGACAAAAATTTAAATTTAGGATTTTTAGAAAATTTTTGACTTTTGAAATATTTAGAAAAAAAATTTGTGTGCGGCACTTTTGCCTGTATACAATATGTTTTCGATAGCTTACCAGAAATTTCATATCAGATCCTTTGAGTACCAAACTAAAAGACAAACTATGATTTATTTGCAGATACACCCTAGTTTATATAGATCGATTTGTGACCTTCGAAGACAACAAGGAAAATGCGTTAATTCTTATACAAAATAGTCCTAGGGTCATTATCATAACACAATGCAGTGGTGGAACGCCGCGCGACGCTTTTTTCTTTGATTAAGGTGCGTACGACAGGTAAAATGGGTGGAATGCTAGGGACATACGTGCAACATTTTAGCTTATCTAACAGCTAAAAAGTGTCTAACCTTAGAGCAAGTGAGAAATATTTAACATTCCTTAAAGTTTCGTTTGATTTTATATTTAATATTTCGACAAAAAATATATTTTTTTATTAATTATTAATTCATGTTTATGATCTGTTTTGACTTCTATCTAAAAAAAAATGGTCTGAAAATGATGGTAAATTCCATTCACCATAGAATCTTAAATGTATAATATAGTGATTGACATCTTCATTTCCACGCCAACCCTGATACCGTTTTTTTATCTTATGCTGTTAAATTTTTATTTAAATTTGATATATTATTTATATTGAGTAAGTATTTTATTTTTCAGTTATAGTTTTATAAAATATCTCTATGCTTTAAAATTTTAGTTGTTTCTTTATTAGGTGGTGATGAATTTTTCAGAAATAAGATTGAAAAGACTAGAGATAGAGAAAAGATACATAGTTTGAAGTGTGAAGATATTATTTCTTCTTGTATCTATACAAGGTGAAATAGTGCAAGTTCTGGGTTCCTTGAAGGACTATTAGAGCTACAATTTAAAAATACTTTTACAAGATACAGAGTGTCCCAAATAAGTAAAAAATATTATTGTTGTATTATTTTAAATGGAACACCCTGATATTATTATATTTTTAGAGTCTACGATTGAAATAAAGGTAAATTTGATTAAGGTTTATCACACTTAGACCTTACCGTTTTTTAAATATTTTCAATTTTATGAAATTGCTGGAAAAATTTTAAGGCTTCATGTCTCCAAGGGTATCAAAGTTTTTAATACTAAATATTTACTAAAGATTATTTATTGATCAGATATTGTGTTGCAATAATAAAAATTTTACTACCTTATACAGAGTGTCCAAAAATTTATATTAAATAATTACTAGCTTTATACGGCAATAACTTGTGTAATTTAAATGGAACATCCTATATATTTTACGTGAATCAAATGCACAATGTAATTGTCTATCAAATTGTATTATACCATTTTTTACCCATCTCTTCAAGTTTTCGTAGAAAATGCATTTTCTTATAATTTAGACCTCATTTATCACTATATTGTTGCAAAATGACCAATTAATATCATCCCAGTATTCAAACTACATTAATTGACAGTTTACGTTGATAATAATAATTGCTCCAAATACTAAAAAACTGAATTTTGTGTGTCTTTTAGACAGTGTGGTAAAAAGTAACACTAAAAATTTTATTTCATTTTTTGACGAATGCTTATTTATAAAAACAGAAACTTTTTTATTATTATATTGATTTCTGAGCCAAATTCACATTTATTTAGAATACTTTATTAATTAAAACATTTATAACGGAAATAATGGTGGAATATTTAATTGGTATACTCTTTCACAAAGATTTAAATAGTTTTTTTTGTATACCAATGAGCTTGCAATACATTTTGTACATATATGTTGCTTTAAAAAAATCTGAAATGTCAATATTCCATGGATATAGTGATAAATGAGGTCTAAATTATAAGAAAATGCATCTTCTACGAAAACTTGAAGAGATGGTTAAAAAATGGTATAATACAAATTGATAGACAATTATATTGTGCATCTGATTCACTTAAAATATATAGGGTGTTCCATTTAAATTCAACAAGTTATTGCCGTTTAAAGCTAGTAATTATTTAATATAAATTTTTGGACACTCTGTTAAGGTAGTAAAATTTTTATTATTGCAACACAATATCTGATCAATAAATAATCTTCAGTAAATATTTAGTATTAAAAACTTTGATACCTTTGGAGAAATGAAGTCTTAAAATTTTTACTGCAATTTCATAAAATTAAAAATATTTCAAAAACGGTAAGGTTTAAGTGTGATAAACCTTAATTAAATTTACCTTCATTTCTATCGTAGAATCCAAAAATAGAATAATATACAGGGTGTTCCATTTAAAAAAGTATAACTATAATATTTTTTACTTATTTGGGACACTCTGTATCTTGTAAAAATATTTTCAAATTGTAGCTCTAATAGTCTTTCAACGAACCCAAAACTTACAATTTGTAAAAATCCAATCGTTTAGCTACAATACTCCGTGTCGTATGTGGTGAACAACCCTGTATACTTTAGTACAAATACAGATTTGTATTCATTGTTTTATAATTTATTGAAAAGAATATTTTTTATATCGGGTACGTCTCAAAAATGGCTCACCCCTATATATTTTTTATTTTTTTAGATAAATAAACGAGATTTGCTATGTCAGTATATGACATAATTTAGGATTGATTGACGTATTCGATCCTTTTCGGCCATTTGCTGTTTTACCGTAAATAACTGCAACTTTTGATTTTTAAATGGCACCCTCGGTATGTTTTTACTTTATTTGATAGAAAATGACACTCTAAGTATAATGACATATCATATGTCAACTTTTGACATTTTCGCTTAAAACAAAATTTGATTTCAATTTAAGGTGCCTTGGAAAAATATATTTGTCGTCTCTATTTGTCGTTTATCGTCTAATGTTTTAGTCTCTTCTTCTGGCCAGTTAAAAGATGCCCAAATCGTATTTTTAATCATATCTCAATTTTTTCAAATGGAATGGGGGTAGCTCATTAGCATATTTGGAGAAAGCATTTTTTTACAAATAATTTGATACCACACACTTGGTATTTCGAGTCAAATTGTCATTCAAAAATGTCAAAAGTTAACATATGATATGTCATTCTATTCAGAGTGTCATTTTCTATCGAATAAAGTAACAAAATACCGAGGGTGCCATTTAAAAATCAAAAGTTGTAGTCATTTCCAGTGAAACTGGAAGTGGCCAAAAACAGTTGAGACGTCAATCAATCCTAATTTATGTCATATTATACTAACATACCAAATCTCGATTTTTTATCTCAAAGAATACAAAAATTATAGGATTGAGCCACTTTTGAAACGCACCCGGTATAATTTTATTGTTATCATTTTTGTATCCTACTATTGCATTAAAAATAATGGATTAATATTTATACAGGATACGACCAATTTTTTTTTATTATTATTAGATGGTCTAAAAATTATTTTCAACTGTTTTTTATAGATCTATAAAAATTAATCTATACTTATAATAGATATTAATACCTACGAATCTAATAATGAAATTATAATAAATATAAGTCAAACATTTATTATTTTTTTGAAAAAAATGCATTAATCATAAAAGTTATTGCTTATTCTAAAATGGTTAAACCCGTTTATACTTTTCCAAATTTCTCTACCATTTTAGAGAAAAATAAAAAAATATTTGAAAAACTGTTTAAAAAAAGTCAACTATAATTCTATATTTTTTATGTAGAGTGTAAAACAAACAACATAAAAATATAGCCTTTACAGGGTCATAAAAAAGCCTCTGGTCCAAACCAAATCAAAACATAAGATATGCAGTAGCTCTCTGACTGTGTTTAAAAAAAGAAAAACTTTTTTTATTCTTAATATTTTGAGAATAAATGCATTATTTATAAAAAAAGCATAGAAAAAATTCTACTATATTTACATATTCTGTTTATTTTGCTTAAAACGGTATGAAAATTTGGAAAACTATAAACGAATTTAGCCATTTTAGAACAAGCCTATATTTTTGGAAAAGATGCACATTTCTCTGACGAAATTTTTGTTTGTTGTGACCCCATCCGGGGACATACTGTATATATTCCTATAGATTTTTTCAAGTGAGGCACAAAAATAAAATTTTAAATTGTTGCTGAAACCTTAAATTAATGCCGGCTAATCTACACTACACTCTATGTGTAATCTACACTCCTCTACACTACAATGGCCTATTGACTTAGCGCATATCTCAATCGACTCTTAATAACAAGATATCCACTCTCATCTAATCCTTAAACTTCGTAAACAATCAGCAATGCATCTCAATAAACTTTACACTCTTGAATTAGAACAACAGCACGACAGAGATTCCCGCTAGTCCACCCGTCCAAATATGAACATTGTCTATGACCGCTTAACTTCAGTGATCGAGCGGGAAAGTCTTATTCGGCGTGGCTGAGCAGTTTTTGTTTTATTATAAGGATGCCATCTTTCTAATAAATATTATTATTTTTCTTTTATTTCACCCTCCTTCATAATATCAGCTATAACACAAATGTGTTCTTGTTCTGTTCTGTATAAAAAAACATTATTATAAGGAAGTTTTACATAACCTAAAAGGCGTGTCTGATATTGTAAGACTAGTAAAGGTCTTTTATAATTTATCATTTCGTTGTAAATTACTAGATACAAATTAAAAGGAAAGTGAAACATAATATCAATAAACAAGAATAATTTTCTTAAAGAATTTTATTTGCATAATGTATTTAAAGCTTGATCACATATAACATAGCTAACTAAACTAAATATAAAACTTATCAAAAAATGTATGTACCTCTGTGGCCGATTCATCTTTTCCAAAAAGACGTATGGTTATTTAAATGCACTGTAAGAAAATATACAAAATAAAATAATTATTAACAATACATCTACTATAGATTCTTAAATGTTCGAATTAACGGAGATAAAGATAACACAGGTCTGCAAAAAAGAAAAAATTGAGCTGTTTTTGTTATTTTATGTTATCTTTATGTTTTTGGGTGTGCTGGATCCGAAAATGATTTCCGTTTTGTCATGAAACATCACGTTTTCTGACAACTAGAGTAGCTACGTAAAGTGAGACTCCTAAAAAGATAAACAACAATAGACTTAAAAAATAACTTTTTTATTACAAAATAATTTATTAAACATATTTTTTAAGTGAAATAAGCCTTCTAGCGCACACTAAAATCTGTTCTTTTTTCCAGTGAGGCTTCTTCTGGTACATTTACGCTTATGGGTAGCGTTTGGAATGTCTCTCTGAAGC